GTGGGGTTTACTGTTCCAGAGCTTTGAGTTCCTGCAGAGTTCTCAGCCCTTCTTACGGGCAGCTGCAGTCAATTTCATACCATTAATCATTGAGAAGATAAACCTGAACTACTTACATGAGGATGATGTGCAGCTGTTATGAAATACTTTCATGTTATGAAAGTATGAGGAATGACCCTCTGGAATCCATTCAGACTTCAGCTGGCACCCTTCTGGCAACCACGGAGCAACATGTGAATCCAAGGTACATCTCTCCCTCCACAGTGAGCCCTCCAAGTACTTTCTGTTACAAAGTAACTGGCATGGAAGCACAAAGAAGTGGCTGTTTAAGACTGTCCCACAGGAAAGAAATCATTGGCTCCTTGGCCCTCTAAATTCATTGTACAGCTGGTGCAAGGGAAGGTGAAAAATTCTCCACTTATAACAGATAATTGATAAAAGTCAACACAGTCACAAGCACCAAAGTCTAAAAAGCACCCTAAAGAATCTGAGTCTGTCTAAAAGCAAATTGCTCCTGAGTCACTATGAACATTTAGAACGGGGGAGTAGGGCCTTTTCCAGTTGTTTATCTAGATGTCAGTGCTTGACTCTACTGCAGCCTCTCCCACCTTTTGTCCAACTGGAAAGGAACCCAAATAGGCTGCTTCGATGTTACAAGATACAGTATGTTCCTTGTCTTTATCTTGCCTAGGTTATTTATTGTTGGCTATCAGCATATACATTTGTAAATAAGACTTATTTTCTTATCCTAAAAATAAAAATAAAAAAGTAAATACTATGTTTGAGATTTGTCCTTGGTTTGCCACTAATGATAACTGTGTGGGTCTCCCTGCCACTGTTGCTTCCTACACACCACTACCGCTCATTGGCATGGGTGAAGGACCAGAGGACTGAAAATAACCCTAACAACCTTAAAGTTTAAAAAGTTCCTGTTAATGTTACCCTTTCCTCAATAAAATATTACTAGGAACAGAAGCCTTTTCTGGTATATTTTTAAAATTTGTTTTGGGTTTGATATCATCATAGAGCAATAGTTCTGACAAAACACTGCAAAGCAGACTCACACAATTTCTTTGATGATGGTTTCAAATCATCAGAATGCCCAACTCACTAGAGTTCCCTTGTTCATTCCCTTTCTGTTCAGAAACTGAATGCCCAATTGCCTTGTTGGAGGTCATACTGTTTTGTGCATTAATATCATCAAACATCTTGCCTTTTGGATATCTACAGAGCTTAGCTATTTACAGAGTATTTTCATGTACATTAAATTCATTTGCAATTGGGGTAACAGCAGGACGAGGATGATATATCACGGGGGTTTTACTGGGGTTTTGGCTTCTTTGTTTCTGAAATGGAGATATGTGGGCATGTTTAAAAGCCAATGGGGAAGATCCAGGTAAGAGTTGAGTATCCATGTTGAGTATATTAGAGATAAGGGATGAATAGCGGTGGAAGTTTCAAAAAAAATTGAATGTGTATATGAAGGGCATGACCAAAGTCATGAGGAAGGGTGGTTTATCTACGAAACAGAAAGGAAGATGTCATTGTTGCAGATACCAACAGGTGTGCAGTGATGGTAATAAGCATCATAAGAGGCTCCCATATGGTGGTTGGTGCCCTCCCTGTCAGAGTAGAAGTGAGATCATGTCCAAGGAGGGGGGATGGGTGGAGTCAGAATACTCAGCAGAGAGGGCAATGTTGGAAAAATTATGGAAATAGGGAATAAACGGATGGCGAGGGCTGCCATGGTATACTGAGGGCGCAGCTGAGGGGGTGATCACAAATTTATATACAAACTGCTTCAGCTCGCTTTGGCTGCTCAGCTGTGTCTCGAGATAAAGCACCTATGTGATTTCATCTACAGTTATGGGTTTTGCTAAAGGGGATGACAAAATAGCAGAAAGATAAAAAGCTTAGGCTACTATTAAAGTATTACTAAAATGATGGACTGCGGAATTAAACTAGATAAGGAGGGAATTAAAAATGCTGTCTGCTTGAGTTTTTCTGTTTCTTCCGCTTCCTCAGCCACCCCAGATCTGATTCTTGCACGTCTTTTAGCTGCTCTTTCTGCTTCTTTACACATCTCTTCATAAACATTGTTTGAACCACTGTCCACATCAAACGGAACACTTTAAACTGTGTATAACCTGAAAGGTAAACTCACCTCAGCGGGTGGATGAAACAGTCATTCTGGTGTCTTGCTAAACAGTCCCTTCATTAATTTCCTTATTTGGCTGCCTTTGTTTAAAAAAAAAAAAAAAAAGTGACTCTGACTCAGCTACTTGCCTTGTCATTTACATCTTCTAAAGTGCATTTGTGGCCAAAATTTGTGGTCAGAAAAAGTGAAGGGCTGGCTTCTCATCAGTGCCGCTGGTTGCATTGTAGCACATGTATATATAAGAAATGCACGAGAAGGGACACTATCAGACATGAAGTTCAAAGAAACCACTTCTGAAGATACCCTCAGTGGCAGTTGGCATGGATCAGACCACGTGGCCTATCGGGCCCTAGCGAGTCTGCGCAAGCGCTTCTGCCCCGCCCACCTGGAGTGTGCACGAAGGCGCACAAGGACCACCGTTGGAGGCCTCAGCGGCCTAAGGGAGGAGCCTGAGGGCCAGCCGGGTCCTGGGCGCCTTGTTACCTAAGTAATGACCTCTGGGCAGGACCTGGGGACGCAACTCTGAGGGCGCCACCAGCTGAGATCTGCCTCTTCAGCCAAGCCTGCGCGGAGACACCCCTAAGCCTGGGCCTGGACCTTAAAGGCGACACTTGATCAATCCTTGAGACCTCAAGCAAGTGAAATTAGGGGTAATGATGTCCTTTTGCTTATGGGCTTTCTTGAAGTGTTACCAGCCATAAGGGGGCATGGAGACAGGATGCGCCCACCCAGAGGCTGGGCTCACCCAATCTGAGTCTCTCAGTCGCAGCGCAGGACTGGCCGTGAACGTCCAGAAATGAGTTCCTTGACTTCTGGGAGCTCACACTGACTTGGGAGCCAGTGCTGAGAATCAAAAGATTGCACGGTGATCCGAGGCATGCACGTTCAGCACGTTAGGGGACCAGGCGAGGAAGCCTCCCAAAGGCTTCCTCATGTTTCTGAACATGTTAGGGCTGAAACCAATGGAGTGGCCGGGATGAGGCTGAGAAGGTGTGCAGGGAGCAGTTAACAAAGGGCTCTGTGTGCCCCGCTAAAGAATTGGAAGACAGTGAGGGGCTGGTTGCATCGCTACTTAAGATGCTAGAGATGAAGTGGTTTCTAGATATGAGCTCTCTGGGGCTATTCCAGAATTTGCAAGGCAAGTTTAGGGAATTGGCAGTAATGGCTCTGGGCTTGTCGGGCAGCTACTTTTTGTATTAGTAATGGAATCAGCAGAAAATACCAAAGGATAAGTGACTCATTCCATTATTTATTTATTTATTTTGCAAAAACGGGATATTTAACCGAGTTGTGCAGTAACTGCCTGTAGAAGGTCGTTTTTTGTTGTTGTTTTTAAAATTCTAACCATCCCTTACTCCAGGAATATATTGTAACATTTCTTAGTGTCTTCCTTTCCGTGATGAAGCTGAGGATTTTCAATGTGCGTGCGCGCGCGCGCGCACACACACACACCCACACTTATTTTCATTAGTCTTTTAATAAGCATCTCATTTTGGGCCGTGCTGGCAGGAGCCTGATACAGATCGTAGAAAAGCTAAATACTCTGCTCTCCAAGTCACCCCTGCTGCTTTCACCACCAACTATGAACGTGAAAAGAATTTTTGTATATACACAGGAGGACTTCTTATTTTTATTATTTAACTATTATCTGAAAAGTAAAATAATAGCAATAAAGATATGGCTCTTCCTCATTTCTCTCTCTTTATAAATTCTGCACTTCTATCTCTTTTTACGTAAGCATGACAGTATGTTTAATCTTGGTTGCCCATAGGCCTATACTCTTCCTTCAGTATTTCTCAGAGGCAGTGTTTGAATATAGAAAGCTTGCTATTTATACATCAATGATTAACATACTGTTTTTTCTATTTTCTATAACTAGTCCTTGTAGCCTTACCTGGTTTTTTTCTGTCTCTTTACTTTAGACATTCAGAAAATCAGTTTTAGAAACTGAAGACTCATCAAAAATCAAGTCATTTTAAGGGTGCAGGGGATTAAAAGCCCTTTAATCCATTCTCCCTGCTTTCTGAAAAAATGAATGATCTCAAGTTTTAAGATCATCCATCAGATGATTACCTGGCTAAGTGGCATCACTCATATTATTGGCCTAAGTAAGTAAGTATAAGTTAGAAGATGTAGAACAGTTTAATTCCTGACCCACAAGAGGATAAAATCCCTTAAGGGGATGCGATTCTTATCCAGGTTTTTATCTTAAAGTAAATAAGAAGATGATCTAAACACCAAGGAGAAATGCAGGCATGGGGGTTGGGGGGGAACAGTAGAAGCCTTTAACAGTGTAGAATGATGGAAGAAAAAGTTCTTGCGCCTAGACAGAGGAACAAGGTAGCAGGCATGTGTAAGGAAAAAAAACACAAGCCCATGATGAACTAAGCACAAGACCTTGATTTTGAAAATGCAAACAGCATTAGGAATTGCACTGAATTGATTATGAATTGCAAATCAATTGTTAAAAGCTTTATTGAGAATTTTCTAACACTGTTCCCTAGTATTCCTTCTACCTTACCGTCCGGAGATGCTGTTTACTACTCAGAAAATATCTGTAATATACCAATATTTTTTAGCCATAGGCTTTTCACTTCTGGAGATGGTTACTCAGAACAGGTGGATGCAAGCTGATACTTCCAAAAGTGAAGGCATGGGAAGGAGAGAGTGACTACCTCTGAGTTTGGGGAGGTGGTTGTGAAATAATAAGGAAAGAATCAAGCTTAAGTATTTTCTTTTGAGCAAAGTGTGTATATGTGTTTTGTATTGTTTTGTAGAAGTTTGCTAATAAAGATATCACCAAAGATTAGAAATATAATCATCTAGAGGAAATGCGAGTAGTATGGCTCAATGTGAATGTCCAAGAATCTCTACAGCAGATACACTTGTGTTTGGGGTAAGTACAACTTGAACTAAATTCAGGGTCATGTACTACTTCAATTTAATTAGGAATATTCTTGGGTCTGGAAAGGATAAGATTTGGTTACGTCAACTGGGTAAAACTTGTTGTGTGTTTTTTTTTTTTAAATGTTGACTTTCTTCTACAAATTTTGAATGCTCTCATGCCCCTTCATAAACTAGTACCTGTTAGGTATAAGCACACTGACCAAACTCACATACACAGAGCAATAGACAAAATCCAAAGTAGGAATTTAAAAAACAGTGGGGTTTTTTTTAACTGTAAAAGAGATCTATTGCTGATCTCTTTTAAGTACTGTATTGATGTCTATGCAGTACAATGATTATTAATCTGTTTCTTAATCTGTACACAGAGAGTTTTTCTAGCTCTCATACAAAAATACCAAGGAACTGTGGAGATCATGCTCTTTCACATATGAAGGGGGAAAAACTTTCCCACTGAATGTGAACTTTTTTTGAATTTGGCTACTGTGTAGACCAATTGTTTAAGTCTTCCACCTGGCCATTCAGCAGGGGTTTTTAACCTCTTTGGAGTCACAGGCCCCTTAGACATAGGAAGAGAAGCTCTGAATCTTCTCAGACTCACATACATATCATAACCCTTTGGCCAAATGGATATTTCATAGTTTCATATAGAACAATTACCAATCATATAAAAGGAGACACTATTTTTCAAGCCCAGTCACTCCTTTTAATAATTGTAAAGTCTTGTAGAATCTATGTTCTTGATACTGAGGCGCTTCCATATGAGGAGTTTCATGGGTGTCTGCTCTGCACTGGGCACCACATCAGAGGCTGATGACAACAGCAAGGCAACGAAAGTCCAGGCCCTGGAGAATTTTGTGATTTAGTAGAGGATTTTCTCCCCATCAAATCCAAAGAAACTCCAAAGAATAGTACCATTCTTCCAAATTTGGTGCAGAAGAAATCTTACATTCTAAATCTATAGAAATGCTTGATTATTACCCCCAACAGTGGTCTTTCTATACTAAAAAACCCCACTTCTCTAAAATATATTTTTAATATCAGCCAATTGCATTTACATGTTTCATAAACAAATTGCTTTACATAGAACTAAAACTATTAAAGTTAAAACATATAGCTTTTTTATTAAAGTTTATATGAAAATGAAAATCTCTCTGAAATTTTTAAAGGGTAATTTAAAATGTGATTCAGAAAATGAAATATCAGTTTATATATACATTCAGAAATAAACTTACTGGGGTATATTTACTGAGATTATAATTATATTCTTACAAATTAAAGTTGAGTAATAATTCTCTAACCCTAACCCTAACTCATCCCCATTCAATAGGAAGACCTTGTATAAGCAAGTCTACTTTGTGTATTCTTTGTATCTCTGTGTACCTAATCCCAGCATGCTTGTGCAAAAGATCCATATCAAGTATTTCTTGAAAGAAAAGAGATCAACCTTTATAAGATCCAAAAAGTGATTCATTGGTGAATCACTACCTGACTCCAAATAGATTAGTAATCACATTTTGTCACATGTTATTACTTGGTAGAAAAGGAGAATAGCCAGTAATAGAGGCAGGTTGTCTTTCTTATGAAAGAATTGGCCAAAATTATTAAGGAACAACAATTAGGTTCTCCAAGTATGGGGGTTCCTATTTGGTAAGCCTCAGTACTTCTTGGTGAGGATCTTCTTCTTGTGTGAACCAATCCAAGAAATACATGGTCAAGTGTATTACTATTTTACTTTCATCTTTTATAAAAGTGTTAAATGTTTCTTATAGTTAACAGTTATTGGAACTGTGTTATAAATTACATGATTTCAGTACTAATAGCATTCTCTTCTCACAGGCTATCCAGATTTTGATTGGCACCTTTCATATTTTCATGTGGTATTTCCTACGGGTTTTGTATATGGGGCAGATTAAAGGAGTCTTTGGGACATATGAACCTATAACTTACAAAACAGGATCTGCTTTATGGGGAATTTTTGTGAGTAGAATACATTTATATGATTTAATCATTCAATAAAGAATATGCATGTCTCTAATCGAAGATAGGGAGCAGTTTCTAAACAGAGGTTACAGAAGAATTATTTAACGACACCCCAGGATGATGATTCATTCAAAATCAAATTCTGTTTTTCAACAAATATTTTTTGAGCACTATTAATTTTCCAGTGGTGTTACAAGAGATGTGGATACAGGAGTCAATACACAATGACAACCATAGGTTAGAGTGTCCTTAGATACATGAAAAACAAAGAATTTCAACTGTGATATCCATCAGCATGGTTAATTTTCATATTTAAGGTCATTACATTAGCTTCCTCACAGAGTAAGTCTATACTCATACATTGTCTAAATTTGCCATTATCTGCATTCTTCTGTGGATTTTGCATAGTCATAATGCAGTAGAAAAATCTGGAGAGCCTGGCATCCTAGAAACCAAGTAAACAAAAAAACAATAAGGAAAGATAAACTATATTAAATTCTATTATGTTATCAGATAAGACAAGGGCTAATCATTGGACTTAGCAATATGAAGGCCCATAGTAAACTTCGTAAGTAGTTTCAGTGGAATAGTGGGGCACAAGCTTCCCTGGAGTTGATTTAAATAATAGTGGGAAAAAGGAATTATTGACAATAAACAGAGACAACTCCTTTAAGGACTTTGGTGTAATGTGGTATAGTGAAATGAGGTGGTAGCTGGGGAAGTTTTGGGTCAAGAGAGGGTTTGCTTATTTGTTTCAGTAAGTTGTAAGTATTATGTCTTTTATTGAGGAAACTGAATCAGAAGAGAAAATTGATGATATGAGATAAATGATGGGAGAGAAGAATCATTAGAATTATGTACTTGTGTAGGCAAGAGATGATGAATTTTAATACATGAATAGCTCAGAGCACAGGCAGCTCATCTTTAGCAGTGGTTCTCAACTAGACTTGATTTTGCCCCTCGGAGGACATATGGTAATGTCTGGAGACAATTTTGGTTTTCACAGCTGGGGATGTGCATCTAGTAGGCAGAGACCATGGATGTCAATAAATTTCCTACAATGCTTAGGACAGTTCCCACAACAAAGAATTATCCATCTTTAATGTAAATAGTGTCAAGGTAGGTAACAGGAGGAAAAGGTAGAGGAAGAGAGAGAGAGGAGAAAAATTTTGGTAAGTATGTAGATGGGTTGTTAGGAGGTTTGTGGAACTTTTCTTCCAATGGCCTCAAATATCTTGGTGAATTAGAAAGCAAGGCCATGAGCTGAGAGTGCAAATGGGAGAGTGGATTGGTTGGTAGAGAAGGGAGGAGAGGACATGAATTAGTCATGCAGGAAAAGTGAGAGAGTGTATGTATTGTGGAAAATTGGTTTGACTTCCATGCAGCAGTAAGGGGCTCACTTAAGCTTATGATAAGATCGGCCAAGAAGGTTGTATTTCTTTCTCAGGCCATGACTGGTTGCATGGGTACAGGCATGCAGTAAGAGGAACTGCATTTAATCAGGATTTTGGTCTAAGTATGCAGCTCTGATTAAACAAGAAAGGTACAGAGGAGTTGAGAGTGTATATAAGTGAATGTTTGCAGAGGTTGACCTTGGAATTTAAGAGAGTGACAGAGGGAATGTAACAGGGAGGTGAGTGAAGGGCTCAAATTATAGATCTAGATGGGGTGAAAGGATCGTTAGAGCTGCAGAACTACAGGGCATGAGCTAAAATGATAGAAGTTGGTGGTCAGAGTGGGATACTTGAAACTGAGATTTGTAAGATCACTTATTGGTAGAAACAAGGACAAGAGAATGCATAGGAGAATGAGTGACTGAAATAGGATGGAGTTAAAGGACTGAGGGACATAAATTCAAGGAACCACAAGCCCAGAGTATTAGAAGGATTATATATGTATATGTTAAAAATAGCAAGGATTACGATATGTTAGAGTTAAAGGCAAGATTAAAATTACCTACAAAGAAGAGAGTGACCAAGGAGTCAACACATGACTTTAATGAGGAGGGATGGTGGGTGATAGAATTGATGACATTTGATTCAAAGCTAGAGGACAGAGAATGGTTGGAAATAGCAATAAGAGGCAAGGAGACCACTTACTCCATGCTTACAACCAATGGTCTAAACCTTGCCACAGGGGTGTCCGACCTTTTGGCATCTTTGGGCCCCACTGGAAGAAGAAGAGTTGTCTTGGGCCACACATTAAATACACAAACACTAACGAGAACTGATGAGCAATAAAAAGGTTTTCAGTAAATTTATGATTTTGTGTTGGGCCAGATTCATAGCCGCCCTGAGCCATACGCGGCCCATGGGCCACAGGTCAGACACCCCTGGAAGGGCTGTTGGAGATAAGATGGCCACTACCTGACAGGGCGTTATCCAAAGCAGTGGCCTCTAAAGGATGCGTTGCCTTTCCACACTCACAGGTGTCAGAGTACTGCACTGGAAAACAATAGGAAAAAAGTAGTGAAATCCAGACAAAGGATTCATATCCCTCAGCGTTTAATCATTCATATATTAAAAATAGCATATTCAGTTCCTGGAATAAATTATCTAAAAATTCTATGCAATTTAATCCAATGCAAAACTTCTTAGGTCATAAACTTTGAAAGGTATTTTGCAAAGCACATCGTTTGGTAATTTAAATTAGAGAGCACTTCAGTTTAAAATTCAAAAGATATTTTCAGTTTCTACTCTGAATTAGCCCTTACCCTCACTATGTATGTCCTTGGAAATCTCAACTTTTGTTACAGAATGAAGTGCTGAGTGTGTAGATTTAAGTTATCCTTGAGGGGTTTGTAAGCTTCAGAGTTGGCCTTTCTATGTATGGTGTATAGTATGAATCCTATTTTTCCACAAATTAAAACAAAACAAATAAGACAAAAAGAATATTTGGTCTTCCCACCTTCAGAAAATGTGGCATCACTTTATACTTCAAGGAAACAGACAAAGTAGCCTGTTGTGAAATAATGGAACTGTTTTTGAAAACAAGGACAAAAATATGAATAGCAGCCATTACCTTCCTAGTATCATAGTATCTAGTATCATAGAGATATATTTTGTACAAACACAATTTGAAATAGACTCATGGGCCACCTTTTTCACATCTGGATATGTATACAGCAATTATAATGAGTGGCACCATTTCACAAGGAAGGACGGCATTAGAAGTAGTAATTGGATGAGTTCAGAAAGCATGCGCAGATTTGGTCCCTTATTCAGGACCACTTATTCAGGACAAAGTTATCTTTGTTATATATAACAACCTGAATTCTGCGCACTGTCCCTTATATATTTCTGTTATTAGTGACCCTACTATTGCCTTTCAGTCCATTACTATATGTCTTGATACCTTCAACTAAAACTCTTTTTTATATTTTGCTACTCTTAGTATTATAAAAATAATTGACTTAGAAGCAGTTGTTAAAAGTACAATTTAAGTTGATGAGCATTATTAATGAATATTTATAAATAAATGTTTTTATATCCAGTTTATCATTTCAGGAGTCTTCTTAATTAAAATAGCAAGGCATCCAACTCCACAACTGGTAAGTTGAAATGTTCAGGATATCCTAGAAATCGTTTGTCACAAAGCTAAATAGGTTTTATGAAAAGACAGTGAGTATCTAAACAATAAAGGAACCTATCCTACCTATAAAATAAATGAAGAATTAAGTGAAAATCCAAAAGCACGTAATTAAATGTAGAGAAACACACTATATTAGTTAGAATCACGCTATGTAAAGATTTTTTAAATTTATATGTAGAGGTTTTTTTGGTTTGGTATTCTACTTCCTTTTAAGACTGTGTAAACTTTTACTATTTGAAAAATGTAATAGGACCTAATACCTTTATATACAAACATAATACTGCTATAAAACACCATTTTCCTAACTATCCAGTTTGGAAACAGGATTGTATCTTGTAATAAAATGGAGGATATGTCCAGAATAAAGATCTGTCTATAGTATCAGTGGAAAGTTATTGGGAAGAGAAAATCTTAAACAGTACCTCATAAATTAATTCATCTTATCTCATAATTGTACAGATAAAAAGGTTGTATATAATTGTAAAGATATCCAAAGGTACTGATGGATTTTTCTTAAAGAATTAAAACCTAGCATTAAAAATCATTGATTCCTATTTGGCTTATTTCTACAAGTAGTCCTTTTCCATCTTTTTCTTCTATTTTTCTTTTTGCAGCAGAACTCCTTTTGTTCATCTTATAAAGTTTCTTCCAACTGACTCAGAAGATTGTAAAATACATTTTTTAAGCCCAAATGAAAGATTTATGCTTATTGGTGTGAGGATATTTTAGTGCTTTCTCCAAATTAACTGGGTCTATATAAACCAGAAAAATATTTTATTCTAATGACAAGCATACCAACACTTCTAAAGCCTCAGAAACTAGATCAAAGTTTTAACTAGACAATTTTTTTAGCACACTGTCTAACCAAAGTTATAATTTTGATTATAATATTCTGATTATAATAAATTTACCCTATATCTTCTTTTTAGGTTACATGTGCTTTGGTCCTGGCCATCTCCTGCATAATGATTACACTTGTTGGAATAGCGTTGACTATATTTGAGTTGTCTAGGTTTGGTTCTGTGTCATATAGAAATTATGGACAAGCGGTAAGTCACCAATTCTATAGGAACATCTCAATTTCAAAATAATTATTTTCAGAGGTTTAGAAGGCTTAGGAGGTAAAATAAGGATTTTATTGGCCCTCACAAAACTCTCTGATTCAATAGTAAGCTCTTGGTTGAAAATTCTAACTCAAAAATAATTTTAATATGATTTTTTGTAAATATTTCTAGAATATTTGAGTTCTTGACATATCCAATTAAAATAAAGCAAGTAAATAATTTGAAGGCCTTGGGTGGTAAATGTACCTGCACTTGGCATGGGATCACTGATGCTTGTTTTAAAGAAATTAAAGTATAATTTTAGGCCTTAAAACCATCCCCATAATCGACAAAAGAATTCTGCTATTGATGCATATAGTTGGAATTGTAGGTGCCTAGTAATTTCTGGTTTAATATATAGCATTTCATGCACAACTTAATTTTATATCTCACATGAATTTTGCTTTAAGTCCTTAAAGGCTGTGTAAATGTGAATATCTTTACTGATATCATAATAGATTTTTTCCCAATTATGTTGGCTTTAAATTTAGAATCACAGGTTATTAGTGCCGCAATACTTATAAAATCTTCCATGTAAAATCATAACAGATTGGAGTGGAGTTCATCTTTATTACTGAACAACAGAGCAAAACAAATAACGATTTGAAAGTTTTAATTCAAATATAATTCTAAGGATCCCAAAATGCCAATTCAAAAGAACCTATGCACCCCAATGTTCATAGCAGCACAATTGGCAATAGCCAAGTGTTGGAAGCAACCTAAATGCCCATCAGTAGATGAATGGATCAAAAAATTATGGTACATTTACACAATGGAATACTACGCAGCAGAAAGAAAAAAAGAAGTACTAAACTTCACGACAGCATGGATGGAACTAGAGAGCATTATGCTAAGCGAAATAAGCCAGGGGGCAAAAGACAAATACCATATGATCTCACCTATATAAGTGGAACCTAACCAACAATACAAAGATGCAAGGAAAATAAGACCAGCGACTCTGAAAGGAAAAGAAACCAACAGAGACAAGAGGGAAGGAGGAAGCGGGAGCGGGGGAAAAGGAAGGGAAGGGGAAAGTGAAGGAACATAGAGCAAGGACTCATGGACATTCACTAATGTTGAGGATACATTGTTGAGGAAGAGTTGAGGGAGGGAGGGGGTAAAGGAAAGTGGTGGGGGGAAGGCAGAGGCAAATGTATTTGAAAAAATAAATAAATAAAATTTAAAAAATACAAAAGAAAAAAATATAATTCTAATGAGTAGAAGAGTCATTGCAGATGAGGGATATACTTCCTGCTCCCTCCATATACCACTCCATAGGAGCATCAGTGGAAGGAATCCAAGCATGGAGATGAGAGAGGATACAATAATATCCCAAAATAGATTGTATGTGATGAATGACGTGTTGATTTAAATAAGCATGCATCAGATTTTCCCTATAAATTGTAAGAAAATTCCCCCCTTGTCCTGGAAATTCAATATACAAATCTTTAATTCTAATTTTGGGGCCAAAGATAGGGAGGGGAATTAAGTATAGAGTTATTTCAAGTTATTTTAGTTTACCATTTTTATTCATAAGCTTGTAATCATCAGTTTGAGATAAGGTGGCATAACTGCCAAGACCTACCTCTTGCAAATATTATTACAAAGCCCTGCAGACTGTATTTACCTGACTTGAACTAAGTATTAATGATTAGTTTCAGAACACACATTTTAGGTTTATTTGCTGTGATTAGTTACACAAAATAAACTTGTATGTTAGGCTTACATCTTTTACTTTAGAGTCATTATAGAATTATATACCTACATTTACTAAAGCAGCCAGCATTGTAAAAGATTTTCTATATGCCAGTCTTTCTAACAAACAAGTGGCTTGACTAAATCCACAAACTCATCAAACTATCAGTGTTCGCAGGTAGGTTCAGCTAACCCCAATAGTGTATGCCTCAAAATATACTCCTCATAGAGAAAAATAATAGTATAAATCTAGAACCAGATTGCCTTTATTCAAACACCATCTTCAGTACTCACTGTAGGTGACCCCCTTGGACAAGTTTCTTAAGTTCCTTGTTCCTTAGTTTCTTTATGTGTAAATGGAGAAAATATGAACACAATCTATTAGCTAACTGCTTTGTCTGTCTCCCAAACTCTAGTATTCTTGTTCTAATGGCCAGCTTGACTTTTCTACTTGGATATGTTTCTAGCATCATCATCTCAAACTCAACAGATATAAAATGGAAAATATTTACCTCCTCAAAAGTACTATGCTGCAAAACTCCCTTATTTCAATCTCCTAGGCTCAAATTTTTCTGTAACCTCTGACCCTTCTCTTTCCACTGTCTTCCCAATTAGCAACTATTGTTTATTTCTTACTTAAATTTTTATTAATTAAGACTCTCTTGCTTGTGACAGGAATACAACCCAAAGTGACGTAAGTAAAAAAGGGTTATTTACTGACTTAAGCTGGATTTAGAAGCTTAAATTATGTGTCCAAAACTCAGTCACTCTCTCTATTGTTTTCCTATTTGAACTTCTTTGGCAAATGTCATGCCACTTTCAGGGAGAGAGTTTGAGAATAACACTAATATATAAATGAAGGAATATGAGCAGAATGACTTTTAATAATCTTGTCTGCTAAGAAGTCACAAGTGCTAAGTGCTTTAGTCACAAGTACTTTTGAGCTAAAAAATATTATGATCATGTTTCTGCCAACAAAATTAAATGAGAATTCTTCACCTGGCCATTTCAAATCCTCTACAGTCTTTACTTTATCTTGCCTTATTATACATAAGTGAACACTATTACTTGAGTTAAACTTATTTTATCATTTTCTCAAACATGTCATATTCATTCTTGCATTCAGTTTTTTGCTAACATTATCAAACCACAGATCATGTGATATATTTTAGCTTTATTGTTGGTCCTTCTTTATGCCTCCATTTCTTAATCATTTTGTCACACTTCTAATTTATGCTATTAAATTCTTTCTGGAACAAGAAAGGTTACAAAGAAACAAGTAAATTAAAGCTGCCTAGATTGTTGCTTTCCCACTTCCCTTTTCTCACTCCTACTCATTTCAAAGGTCCTACCCCTTATGAAGCCCTCCTAGATATGAATGACTTAGGGTAGATCTCCTGTCCCCTATAGTTATTGAGCAAGTCTCTATCCATTTTGGTATATTTAACTTTATCCTATGTTACCTAATACTATCTTTTTGTCTTTCCTACTTGGATATAAACCTTGAGAAAACAGGAATATTTTGTCATTTCATTCTTTCCCTCTAATTCCTACCACTTGATAGTTTATTCCATATAAAATGTATTAAATAAATCCAATAGAAAAGACAAAAGAAGGAACCAAAGAGTTATGATATTATTCTTTTTAGGTCTGAATATAATATTTGTCTTTCCATAGCCAGTACAAAAACTACATTTATTTTTGGGATTAGTACCATTATCATTTACCCTGATATATATCAATAGTTGAAAGTATCTTTCAGATGGCAACAGAAGGGGTCTTCTTTATCTGTCCCAGCAATCACAGTCACCTTGTGCTTCCCAGGGAAATGTCATTCTTTGAATTCTTAAATGACTTGTCTTCCCCTAGGATATTACAGGAATTTTTTTTGTGATTTTTATTATTACCACATGTGTAAATTTAAGAAAGTTTATAATTAATAATAGCTGTTGTAATACCTGAGGATTGTTTGATAAAATCTCTTGGTAGCCATCTTATCATTGGAGACAGGAAAATCAAATCTTCCTGACTGAAGAGTTTGGATAGCGAGCTGTTCTAGGGACTCTGTAGTGAAGAGAATAATGAAAATGAAAAATTGTAAGAAGTGAGACAGAATGGGGAGCAATGAAGATCAAGATTGGGAGCTGCAGACAATGAATCAGGGGAATGAAAGCTAGGAAAAGTGGAGTAGAAGGCAAAGGAGTAGAAATTCCTGGGAAAAGCAAATAGTGAAAGAGACTTATTTATTCTTCCTATTTTCCTCTCGTACTAGGAGCTCCTTCCCTGAACATAGTTGCTCTTACTAAAATAATAATGCAAGATTTCTCCTTATTTTCTGGTTTCAGAGACTTGGGAGGGAAGTTTCCCGGATTTTGCTATTCTCTTACCACTTGGAATTAGTTCTTGTATTGACATACTCCATCTTTGGCTGTGTTGATTTGGTAAGTGTTTATCTATTATGTGGCATATCAAGAGATGTTGATTTTAGTAGACACATTCTATGAGGAGATGAAGTGCACTGATACAATATGTTTAGAACTACTAAAAATGGAATATGTGATATTTCCTTTTTAATTTTTTCTTTACCTTATTGTTTATAAAATTACAAAAGGAATACTTGAAACAAATAAAACAGTAAAAAATTAAAGTAAAAAGTTATTGTTTTCTTAATGTAATCTTTGTAATACCCACACATGCAAATCTGCACAAAAAAACACAGATACACACATACATGCAGAGTTTTCTTTGTTACTAATTGTGTTATCATACACATACTGTTTAGTCACATGCATTTTTCTCAATTGTCATAAAAATCTTTTCATTATAAAACATATCAAAACAATGTCTTTTAATATCATCATCCTTTTCCTTAGATTTTATTTTAACATTCCTTTATTGCTACATATTTAGCTTTTTATAAACCATGATGCAGTATACATCTCAATATATATGACTTTGTATGTAAGACCAGTATTTCTGTAGGTAGTTGATTTCTATAAGTGTACAATTGACCTTGAACAACTCAGGGATTAAGGGATCTGACCCCCCACCATGAGTTGAAAACCTGCCTGTAACTTGACTCCCTTCTAAGAGCCTACTGTGGACCAGAAGTTTTACTGATACACAAACAATCAATTAACAGATATTTTATATGTTATATGTATTATATACTGTATTATTATACTAAAGTAAGCTAGAGAAAAAATATTATTAAGAAAATCGGACTTCAAGATGGTGGAGGAGTGAATGGAAGTCACAGTGACCTTCTCTCAGAACCAATCTGGAATTATAACTAAATTGTAGAGAAATCACCTGGAACAAACAACTGAACAGTAACGAGAGAGAAGCCTCATAACCTCAGACAGACAGCGGAATCGGCTTTAGCACAACCTAACTGGTAAGGAGAGCAGAAGAGACTCAAGAAGGTGGGCTGAGTGCCTATGGGTGGCAGCGCTAGAGGGATATTTAAATGACTGGTTGGATCCCCCTGAGAAGAGTGAGGTCTAAACCATAAGTAGGGATCTCCAGCCTACAGCACCAGGGCACAAAAGTACAAAGATAACAGCCTGCTGCAGAAACTGGCAGGGTTGCTCTCTGCCAGAGATGGGCAGCTGGAGATGCAAAGATCTGTTCAAAGGGCCAAACACATGAATTTTTGTTTGCAGCCTGGGCTCTGGCAAAGGCGGGGACAGAATGGGCTGGAGGCACCAGAGGAGAGACTGGGGAAGGAAGCTTTAGGGAAAGAACTGAGAGAGTAACTGGTAGGATCCCGGTGCTGACTCCTCCCCCATATGGCAGTAGCCATCTTGCTCAGGCAGACCGCTCACCTGAGTGGCAGCAGCATAAGAGGACCCAAATAACCCTGTCCCCAGGAGGGACACTGCCCCACCCTGTAGTGCCTAAGCCTAGATTGGTCACTCTAGGCTTAATATAGATATATAGAGAGCCTATATATATCTAATATATATATCTAATATATATTGAGATGTATACTGCACTGAGTGCAGAGTGACTAGATTAAGAGCTGAAGGAGACAGCCACAGACAGTAGATTCCTGGAAGTCTTGAACAGGCTGCCTAAGGTCAGACAAGGTCAATAGCTGACTTCATCAGAGGCACATCCAGAAAGAAAAGAAAACAAAACAGCAGTTTCCTACCATAGAAGTTCACACCACAAAGTCAGGAAGTCAAGACAGGTCTATTTAAGAAGCAGAAGCAAAAAAGGAGAGTCTCACAAATAATGGGAAGACAAAGAAACACCCCCCAGTCAAAAGGAAAGGAGGAATCCACAGAAAGAGAACTACATGAAATAGAGGCAAGTAAACTATCAGATACTGAGTTCAAAACAATCATTCTAATGAAGCTCAGTGAGCTCAAAGAGAATAACCAAAAACTACAGGGAAACTACAAGGAACTTACTGCAAACTATATCACCATGAAAAAGGACATAGAAACTATCAATAAGAGACAAGAGGAAATGAAGAATACAATTTCTGAATTAAAGAACACAGTAGAAGGAATCAAAAGCAGTCTCAATGAAGCAGAGGATTGAATCAGTGAGCTGAAGGACAAGGTAGAAAAAAGTTCCCAGAAAGAGCAAGAAAATGAAAAAAGACTCAAAAGGAATGAAGAGGCTTTTAGGGAAATGCAGGACAACCTGAAAACTAATAATATCTGTATAATAGGGATGCCAGAAGGAGAAGAAGAAGAGGAAGGGACAGAGAACCTGTTTAAAAAAAAAATGATGGAAGAGTTCCCTAATTGGAAAAGTCACACAAGTCCAGGAAGCACAGAGGGTTCCATTCAAGAGGAACCCAGTGAGGCCCACTCTAAGACACATCATCATTAAAATGGCAAATATCAAAGACAAACAGAGAATCCTAAATGAAACAAGGGAGAAAGAGATAGTAACATATATGGGAGCCCTGGTATGGCTAGCAGCTGACTTCTCAACAGAAACGTTACAAGCCAGAAGGAAATGGCAAGAAATACTCCCAGTTGTGAAAAGCAAAGGCCTGCAACCAAGACTGCTCTACCCAGCAAGGCTCTCAATTAAAATAGAATGTGAAATAAGGAGTTTCCAAGACAAAAGAAGGCTAAAAGAATACACGTCCATGAGACCAGCACTGCAAGATATGCAAAAGGGACTGCTTTAAGAAGATGAAGAAAAAGAGTGAGAAAGAAATGATCACAGATACAAGGGGAAAAAAAGAATAAGCACCTATCAATAATAACTTTATATATAATTGGATTAAATGCTACAATCAAAAGACATAGGGTTGGGGGGGAGGGGAAAGTTGTAAGGGGTAGGAGGAGACAAATGTATTTGAAAAAATAAATTAATTTTCTTAGACCACAGGGCTTGAAACTAAAAACCAACCTCAAGGAAAAAATTCAAAAACATTCAAACTCATGGAGACTGAAAAGCATGCTATTAAGCAATGAATGGGTCAATAATGAGATCAAAGAAGAAATCAAGAAGTTTCTGGAAACAAGTGAAAATGAACACACAACAGTCCAAAACCTATGGGAAACAGAGAAGACAGTCCTGAGAGAGAAATTCATAAGATACAGGTCTACCTAAGAAAGATAGAAACATTTCAAATAAACGACCCAACCCTACATCTTCAAGAACTGGTGAAATACCAACAAACAAAGCCCAGAGTGAGTAGAAGAAAGGAAATAATCAAGATCAGAGCAGAACTGAATGACATAGGGACTAAAAGAACAATTCAAATGATCAACAAATCCAGGAGCTGGTTCTTTGAAAAGGTAAACAAAATTGACAATCCTTTAAGCAGACTCATCAAGAAGAAAAGGGAGAGGACCCAAATAAATAATATCAGAGATGAAAGAGGAGAAATAACAACGATACCACAGAAATACAAAATATTGTAATAAACTACTATGAACAATTACATGCCAAGAAATTTGAAAGCCTCAATTAAATGGACAAATTTCTAGAAAATATAACCATCCAACACTGAATGAAGAAGAAGCAGAAAGCCTGAACAGATTGAGAACAGCTGGTGAAATTGAAGCAGTAATAAAAAAAAACTCCTGGCACACAAAAGCCCTGGACCTATAGACTCTAATGTGACTCAGGTAGGACACTTTCATCTGCATTAAAAACCTGTTCAGGCAGGTATGCTTTCTTTTCATGACTTTCTTAATGGCTTCTTGGAATTCATCTTCCCCTTGGTCAGGAGAAGCTGCTTCTCCTGTTATCTCATTTTTTCTGTAAGCCAAACCTCTTTCTAAAACTATCAAATCTTCCTTTGCTGGTATTAAATTCTCTAGCTGTAGCTCCTTTACCTACTTTTTCTTTAAGTTGTCATATGATGACTTTGTTTTTTTCTTGAGTCACAGTAGAGTCTATACGTATGCATTTCTTAAAGCGATACAGCACCCACACAAAAGCTGCACTTTCAATATGAGGTAAAAAGTTATTTCACAAAAAATTCAAGGTTTTCATGCCTACTGTCATAGCTGCAGTGGCAGTGTCACAAATTTCCTTTTATTTTTATGTTTGGACTTGTTTATCTTGAAATGGTGGGCAACCGCAGCTGCAGACCTCAATCTATGAATGTATGGTACATATCAAGCAATTCAACTTTTTCTTGGAATGTCATGAATTTGCTTCTTGGGACTACTTCCAACATCATTAACATTGTATGGGTCCCATGATGTTATTCATAGTTTACAGTATCACACTAAATACAATGAAAAATATGTGACAACTGTGAGATCACTTTTTACTGCAATACTCAATATACTGGAGAGAAAAGGTCACATGGAGATGATTAGCATCACATGACATTCAAGCAGATACTTGGCAACACTTGAGCTCACCACGATGACACCAGGAGATGGCTACAAAATTATTACAATTGTGCAGTAGGTATTACAGTTAATTTTATACAGTTAGGATTTAATATGGCATCTTTTTGTTTGTTTACATTTCTTTCAACTGTGAATGGCTTAGCATATAGTCAGTGTAGGCATAAGTCATGATACACTTAAATGTTTTGTAATAACTTGTGTATAGTTTATGGGAGTAAATGATAAAATAGACTATTATCTACATATGTTTTATGCATTAATAACATACTTAACTTTTTCTTAATTTTTCAATGTTTCTACTCTACACAGTTCATCTGTGAGTTTTTTCAAATTATCTCGAATCTCTAAAATTTTTCCAATATATTAATTGAAAAGAATCTCCAGTTCAAACCTGTTTTGTTTAAGTGTCAACTGTAATTGCAAGTTTAATAACATCCTAAATTGCTGTAATAATTCACAGTACCACAAGAGTTTATGTGAATGATTTATTTTCTCATATCTTAAAAAGACTATATATCTATTCTTTCACAAATATTTATGGATAGCCTACTATATATATTAGGCATTGTAACAGGCACTAAGGATACAGTGATTAACAAGACAGCATTCCTATCCTCAGGGAGTTTGTATTCCAGTGTGGGGAAAGACAATAAACACACACATACACATGCACAGTAATTTTAGGAAATGGAAAAGTGTTATGAAGTAAAATAAAACATAGTAAAGAGATAAAGCAAAGATATTTTACACAGGATGGTAAGGGGAAAGCATTCTAAGCAAAGACTAACTGAAGTGCAGAAGTAACTACAAGACTACATGGAAAAACAGTCTTCTAAGAATAGGGATTGTGTGGGGCTTCCAGAATTGCTGAGTGAGGATATGGCAAGTGTCCCTAAAAAGAAATAATAAAACTGACAAGATTGTCAATAAACAATTTTTAACTATTCCGGGCATTTATCAAAGAATACAACAAATGAGAAATATTTAAGAAAATTTGCTGAACCTCAGTAAGAACAGTGAGTATCTGTGACATTTTAACTTGGTGCTGCTCTGAATTTTCCCAACCACCCTTCCCCCAAGGCTCCATTTTGCAGAAGTTTACCTGGGTGAGTCAGATTGTGAAGACCAGCAGTCTCACTCGTGGAAAGGGCTGATTTTATTTGTGGCAGAGCACAGGAATTTCCATGACCAGGTGTGTTATTATAACAGTAGAGATTACAGTGGCAAAAAAATCTGGAAGAAGCCAATATAACACCTAGCCTAATTGAGATCATAATACTTGTTAGGCCAAGAAGTTGACTGGCAACCAGTTAGAAACTTAAAGGGAGATTTTGAGAACAAGAGAACCAAAGTGGGCCTTGGTGATATCCTACTTAATCACCATGGTCTGGAAGATTATAGATGTACAGAGGGCTATGCATGCAGTAAGGAGACTGGAGAGGGTCCTAGTGAGCTAATTACACCTGGCTGAATAAGAGGCCTTGCAAAAACAGAATAAAAACTGGGCCAGTTTTACAGATGATTTAAACTTTGAATATATTTCTTAAGCTATACTTATTCATTGACAAAAGGTGGGCCCCACTGCAGGGGACAGACTCCACAATGTTAGTGTAGGCAAATCACAAAAGACAGCAGTAGCAACAACTCCTGGGGGAAGATGAAGCAATCAGAATCCAAAGTTGTTACAATATATTATCTAACGTATCTACTTTTAAACAACAATGAAATATGACATGCAAGGGATGGGAAATAATGACCCATACACTTGAAAAAATACCATCTTTGCAGGGGGGAAGGAAGACAAATATTGAACTTCACAAAGAAAGACTTCAAAGAACTAAAGGAAAATATGTTTAAAGAATTAACAGATGATAATTACTCATTAAATAAGAATATCAATGTCTATTACCTTGATTGTGGTGATGGTATCACAGTGTTTGCATGTGTCTGAATTTATCAAATCATACACATTAAATATGTGCAGTTCTTTGTATATCAATTATATCTCAATGGACCTGTTTCATTCTTAAAGTAAAATATAAATAAAAGAGACATAAATTATTAAAAAGAACCAAATGGAAATGCTGAAGTTAAAAAATAGATTTGCTGAAGTGAAAAATTTATTAGAGGGGCTCAAGAATAGATTCGAGCTGACAGAAGATAAAATTAGCAAACATGATAGGACAAGATAAATTTTCCAGGCTGAAGAACAAGGGAGAAAAGAACAAGAAAAATTTTAAAATCTCACAGATCTTTGGGACACCATCCAGTGTACCTACATATGCATAATGAGATCCCCGAAAAGGAGGGAAGAGAAAAATGGCAAAATTTCCCATAATCTTAATGAAAAATATTATTCTATACATTAAGAAGCTCAATAATCTCCAATTAAAATAAACACAAAGAGATTCACTCCTAGATACTTCAGAGCCAAACTGATAAAAAAAAAAAGAGAGAGAGAGAGAAAATTGTTAAAGCAAGAGAAAAATAATTCTTCATGTACAATGTAACCACACTAAGATTAACAGCTGATTTTTCATCAGACACAATGGAGGCCTGAAGGTAGTGGAATGGCATATTAAATTCTATCTATTAAAACTATCCTTCAGAAATGAAGGTGAAAAAAAGATATACATCGATGAAAAAAGACAGAGACTGTGTGGCTAGCAGAACTGCTTTTCAAGAAACTTTTTTAAAAAAAGTTCTTTAAACTGAAAGAAAGCAATACCAGATGGAACAAAAATATACATGAAGAAATAAAGAGCATCAGTAAAGGTAATTATGTAGATGGCTATAAAAAACAGTATAAGTATTTTTTGTGTGTGTGTTTTCTTAACTGATTTTAATGACTATTGCATAAATCGCACTGGGACCACCCAGGTAATCTTAAATAATCTCTTTATTTTAGGGTCATGTTATTATCCACCTTAATTCTATCTATTGCAACTATTCAGCTCTTGTAGTACAAAAGCAGCCATAGACCATGCATAAATGAACGGATATGCTTTTGTTCCAATAAAACTTTACCAAACAGGTGGTGGCCCAAATTTGGTCCAGATGACATAGTTTTCCAACCCCTGTATTAGAGATGTATTTTTTTCTCCTTTTTCTCAATGAAATTTTAAAAGAGTTAAGATTACAAAAGTAATAACTGTGACAATATTTTGTGTGTCTAGCATATGTAGGTATACTATACATGAAAATAATAACACAAAAGAAATGGGAAGGAATAGAGCTACATGAGAACAAAGTTTCTATATTTTAATAGAATTAATTAGCATTCATATGTAGCAGATTATGACAAATTAAGATGCATACTGTAAGCCCTCGACCAATGACTAAGAAAACTAAAAAAAAAATTGTAAAAATCAACAAAGAATTTAAGATGATACACAGAAAGTATTTAATTTAAAAAAACAGGGAAAGGAAGAACATAAATTATATGAGACATATAGAAAACAAATAGACATTATTAGACACAAATCTAATCATTTCAATAATAATATTAAAATAAAACTACAATAAAATATTAAGTACTTAACAGAATGACTAAGTTTCACAATATAGTTCTAAGTGATGGTAATGACTAGGTAAAGAAATGTCTCCCACATTCCCAGTTGGAATATAAATTATTGCAACAATTTTGAAAACCCTTTGCGCATTACTTACTAAAAGTTAAGATGTACATACCTTACCAGTTATTTCAGTCCTTAGTATACATCCAATAGAAATGTGTGCACATATACACATATTACCAAGATATTCTAGGAAATTTGTATATGCATTTTATATATATACTTTATAGTAGCCCCAAAGTGTAAACAATGTAAATGGATGTATGGTGAATATATTGAGGTATATTATGCTAATAAAATTCCACATAGTAATTACAATGAACTACACCTATATTTAACAGCACAGATAAATCTCATATATATGATGCTGAGTATAAGAAGTCAGACACAAAAGAATGCATAGTTTATGATTCTAGTCACATGAAGTTTGAAACCAGGCAAAACTAAACTATAATTTTTAGGGAAGGATACACGCTAGCTGGCAATTCTAGAAAGAAAAAGTCTTCTTTACCTAAAAGTCAAAATGACAGTTATTTTTGAAGGGTAGGAATAGGTAATAATTGTGAAATATCATGACAAGGTGACTTCTGGGATACTGGCAACTGTTCACATTAAGGAAGACCATGAATATTTTTTATTATAAAAGTCTAGAAGTAAACCAAAAGTTACCAGTAGCCTACAGGAATTAAGAGAGTGGTTGTGGTAGAGCTTGGACAGAATAAGGACAAATGGCACTTTAACATTTTATTCTATAAACATTAGGATTGCTTGTATCTTTTAAAAGCTAAGTATTTATTACATGTATGATTTTAAGAAATATGATTTAAAAGAAGTGATTTTTTTTTTTTCAGAATCGTGGTAATGAAGATGATCGTGCAACTGTTAGAGAGGAAGCTGGGAGGATTTCTTAAAAACCTTGGAAATGTGAGATTTTTCCTGGTGCCCAGACCTGATGTTGGCCCTAAAAATATCTCTGTATAATAAAGTTACTTCAAAACCCACAGATTTTGTGCAAAAGGAAATATAAGTTGGATTTTTTTTTCTTCTTAGTGTTCAAGAAATTTCTTTGCACATATTTTGTACGCCCCAAGTGGAAATATTTTTTCTATTTAAATCGGATATTCTTACAGGGAAGAATTTTTTTTCTAGGTACTCTGAAGAGCTTTCAACTCTCCCTAATGGAGTTTTTCTAAGACACCACAAACAAGGTCTGTGATTTTCTCTGGAGGTCAGGCTATGAAGACTTCACAGCATGATACTGTATGATTCTCAGGAAAACTTTAAATAATTTATGCCCCTACTTGTAAAGAATACATTTCACTTTTGGTTCTTCTACCTAAACTAGCTTCTACCTGAATAAAGGATGAATCAAAAGACATCCAATTCATAATCCCTTCATTGTTCTTGTCTGACTTATTAAAGTTTCTTCCTGCCCTGCTGTGGGGTCAATATATGGCTCTCCCACCACCTGTGAGAGGGCTGGCCAGGGGAATATGTATTGTTTTGGGAATGGATTGTAACTCCCTTTTTATCTCCTTTTGGGAGCGCTTCTTGTCCTGTGAGTGGCTCTTGACTTTTTTCTTTTGCACATACGCACTGAAGCAATGTAGCTCCGGGCCCCAGGTAAGTTTGTACAACCTTGAACCTGTGCTGCCTTTGTCTGGGATCCCTAATAACAAGCCTCAGACTGGAGGAGGTGCCATCTGTCTTGCACCAACCTACCACCAATGGTGCTGTCCCCTGTAATGTGAATAATAACTGGCATGTCTGCATCTGCTAGTTCTCTGGGTGGCTTTTTTTGAATATCATGAACATTTAAGCAGCTCCCTGGTTTGGAGCTCCTGAGCTACACCTGCAAATCTCTGCTGTCCTCCTTCCCTTTCATTCCCCCTTGCTTCTTATTTTTTTATTGTCATTTGGATCATCTGTTTAATTGCTTTTCAAAGAAAACAGGCTGATTTTCCGCAATGAGAATTTCCCAAGCATAAGTTCTGAATTCAGATTCACCCTCTTTTTTAACTGTTTCTATGGAACAGAAAGAACTACAGAAAGTCTTGCTCGGCAATGTTAATCATGAGAGTGAGTACATGCAGTTCTCTTTTAAATATGCTGCTGTTTTTCGTTTGTTTGTTTTCTGCCTTGTCTCTCAAGATGCTTCATCACTTGTTATCTTAATACTATAAATTAAGATTTCATGCTTCTCAGAATTTCAGTTCTTAGCTCATGTCTATCATTTCTCTACGTTGATTGTCTATTGTGCACCGGTGACTATATTAAATTATGGAGTATGAAAACTTTATAAGGTACCTCAGTGCAGAAAGTTTTTATTTTAGGGGAAGAAACAACCTAGGAACAAATCAAGACTATGCAGTGCAATACCTGTATTAAAAGAAGAATGAAAAACTTGAAGTAGCACAGAAAAGAAAATTATCTTTCTGTTAGGAAAAAGGAGGAATACAGCTTTATGAAGGATACAGCCTCTGAGCTGGGGATTAATCACTGTTTACCTGGTGGAATGAAATGTGGGAGGATGTTACAAATAGAACAATTAACTCAGCGAAGACATAAAGGTGAGAAAATCATAGTATAACTCATTAGGCAAAATGAATATATATAATTAAAACAATGACAGGAGTAAGTCAAGAGTGAAAGTTGGAGAGGTAGGTGGAGGCCAAATGATAAAGAAGTCAAATCATCAAATATTGATAACTAAATTATTGAACTATATCTTGTAGACAGTGGTTAACTGATGGAAGAGTTTTTAAGTAGGGAAACAATATGTTTGGATTTACATTTGAGAAAAATTTTGAACAAGGAGAAATGCATTAGACAGGGTGAATTTAGTAAAACTAGAGTGTGGAAGAGAGTCATGGATAGCTATTACAACGATTCAGACTAAGAAGTAAAAAAGTCTAAGTTTTAGTGTTGATTTATTAAACATAAGGTATAAGGGAAAAACCTAAAATAACTCCTCAGTTTCTAGTTTGGGTGACACTTGCATTGATACAAAATGTAGAAGATGCAGCAGGATTCAATGAAATAATAAATTCTGTTTTGGATAAGTGAAATTTGTGGTAACTATGAGACATTAATGTAGAGACGTCTGTTAGGCAGTTGAAAATACACATCTAGGGGTTGGAGAAAGTTTAGCTATGTATAGGGAGATTGATTGTGACTTTAATTAAAAATATGAGAGGATTTCCATTTCCAGCAATTAAGAATTTGGCTCTTGCAGCCCAAGTCTACTACAAAGAACAAAACAAAAGCAAGCCAAATTTTTAAAACACCATCTGTTTGAAGGTGTTGGAGATCTAGCATTTAGGGGAGATTGGATTTAAGCAGCCAAGAACGAGTTGAAACCAAGAGATGATTCAGCCCTTTCACATAGCTTTTCCCTCAGAAGCATTTTCTGAACCACAAACAGCTGAGAGGTTAAAAAGCTGAGAAGAGCTGCTAATATTCTTACAGAGTGTGAAGACAGTTGCTGGAGCTCAGGCTCACCAAACAATGAGACACTTCTAAATACCCAGGACTTTCAGTTGTGATGCCTAGAGGGGCTATATCCTACTAGCAAAGGTAAGCAAAAATGGGCCATTACTCTCATAAGACTGATGCTCAGACCCAAATCAGCTCAGTTACAGATTGTATTAAAGGGAGCTTCCCCAAATATAACATTCTACCAAAACAAAATAAATCATTTCAAGAAGAAGGTAACATTATCTCAGGCATCAAGTTATCACTATACTATTTCATACATAATGTCTGGGATTCAGTAAAAGTCAAATAAGAATTAAAATCCAAGAAAAACATAGGCCCATGATAGATACCATAATTATAAAATCTTAAATAAGATTTTAGTAGAAAAGTGAAAATTATAAAAGTCGAATGGAAATGAGAAATAACAGTGATAATTTTAAGGTCTATGTGAATGTAACAGCAATTAGGCATAAATGATGAGAAAAATCTGAGCTAGAAGAAAAAGCAGAAAGAAAAATCACACTGAAAAATTGACAAAATGATAGAAATGCAATGTAGATGGTGGACAGAGTAAGAGACATATGGTGCTAAAGAAAAGTTTTAATACCACGTGTTTGGATTTCGGAAGAAGAGACAAAAAAGCAATTAAGTAATATTTTAAAATAATGTTACCTGGGAATTTTCCTAACTTGATATAAATATAAGGAAATAAACATGTAAGTACATCATAGTAAAACTGCATAAAACCAGCCATAAGAGCAAAGTCTTAAACATAAACAAGGAGATTCCTTTTCATTTTGCTGATGTTTTCTTTAGCCATGCAGAAGCTTTTGAATTTGATGTAGTCCCATTTGTTTATTCTTTCCTTTATATACCGTGCTTTAATGGACATATTGGTGAAAATACTGCTGCATGGAATATCTGAGATTTTCCTGCCTATGTTCTCCTCTAGGACTTTAAAGCTATTTACAATAGCCAAGTGCTGGAAATGGCCTAAGTGCCCATCAGAATATGAATGGATAAAAACACTGTTGTATGTTTACACAAATGACTAGTACACAGTAGAAAGAAAGAAGGAACTCCTACCCTTCGCGACAGCATGGATGGAACTGGAGAGTATTATGCTAAATGAAATAAGCCAGGCAGTGAAAGACAAACACCATATGATCTCACCTATAAGTGGAACCTAATCAAAAAAACAAACAAGTGAACAAAATAGAACCGAAGACATGGAAATAAAAAACAAACTGACAGTGACCAGAGGGGAGGGGAGAGAAGGGTAACAGAGGAAAAAAGAGGAAGGGTCATCAAGAAACATGTATAAAGGACCCATGGACAAAGACAACAAGGGAGAAGATTGAATGTGGGAGATGGGATGTGGGTAGGACAGGGGAGAGTAAAGGAGGGGAACATGGGGACAACGGTAATTGAACAACAATAAAAAATAAGGAGAAAAGACACTTTAGCTTCAAAGAAGAACAATAAAAAGATTATCAGGGGATGTGTTAAGAAAAACAAAGTCAAAACTTTTCAGCATTGAAATGAAATTGTAGTAAGTGTTCTTCAAAAACAGTACTGATTGTTAGTATTTAAGGATGGTGAGGGGGAGGAGGATGGGTGTGACTACATAGGGGTAGCATGAGGGAGATCTTTGTGGTAATGGAAGAGTTCTGCATTTTGATTCTGGTGGAAGTTACATAAATCTACAAATATAATAAAATGACATAGAACTATACACACACTTTGTACTAACATCAAATTTTTAGTTTGGATACTGTACTATAACTGTAAAATGCAATCATAAAGGATACTGGGTGAAGACTGCATGGGACCTCTCTGCACTATTTGTGTAAGCTTTCTTAATCTATAATTAATACAAAATAAAAAGATAGAAACAGAAAGAATAAAGGTTGTAGTATCCCAGGGCTGGAGGGGAGCTTCTCAAGAGACGGTAATGTTTTTTTCTTAAACTGGGTAAAGGTTAAATACGTGTATTTTCACTTTCCTTGGTTAATTCATCTAGTTGTATACTTGACATGTACAGCCTTCTGTATAGTCAATCCTATTTTTTTTTAAATATGAGAATGAATGAAACCATCCAGCGTGAAAGTACTGAGTGAGTAGTAAAGAGTACTGAGGGAAGAACCCTAACGAAATCAATTTTAAGGTTTATGACAAGAAAGGAGATGCAACAGAGTTTGAGAAATGGTCATAGAAAGCAAAGAAAATTAGGGAGTTAAAGTATCATGAAAGCCAAAGAAGTACGTTCCAAGGTAGGGATTCAAGTGTGTCAAATGAGATAAGTAATGGAAATGGCAAATAATAGATTATTGGTATTTATATCTTGGGCCACATTGCAGGAGATTAAAATTATTTAATAGACTATGAAAAAGTAGACAAGAGTATAAACTAATTTATACTGTCTATACTCTCA